TTTTACAGTGCTTTTAAGATGCTCAGCCTCAAAACCAAATTTTTTTTAATCTATTTTAGGAGAGCTGGCAATATAGCTTTTAAAAAACTCCTAAGTATAGTAATAGTCATCCTAACCTTTAATTTAAAATAATTTAAGAAAAACTTGAACTTATACATAATATTTGATGGTTTGTGCATGATTAAGTGTATTCTTTTAACAACAGCTAAAATGATACTATTCTCAATTTCTTTACTTTCATAATCTATTTTTGACAGTGTGTTTTATATATTGCAATCCCTGGCAATCCATTATTTTATATTTCTATTTTAAACTTGTCTGAATCAAGTATCTTTCTCAATTTGTTTCTAAATTCTTCAAAAAATCTATAGTTAATTTAATATATTTAACAACATATCTGTAGCTAATTTAATAAGATAGTACTATTAACATTAGCTTCAAAACAGAATACTAAGTTATTAAAGGTGTATTTTTATAGAAGTAAGCTTGAGGAACCAAAACTAGCGAGTACTAAAAGCAACTGGTTAATTTTGTTGTATTCACTCTTTCTTCATCTTTTACCTCATAGTTAAAATTGTAAAAGGCTTCTGAGATTGTAATAATGAAAAATAAATACACCTACACAGCTGGATTAATTGATACAACAGTCTGTATCTCTTATACAACAAACAGGCATTTGAAAAGAGAGTGACTTACCTTGTATCTATTAACTAAGGGCAGTTACAATGATTAAAAAGTCAACTTCTAAATTAGAAAAATTATCATTTAACTGCTAATTGATACCTTCTCTTGCCATAAAACCTTTTCACAGTATCTCAAGAGAACCACAGCTTAAAAAAAAAAACTTGCATTTTTCATATTAAAAGTAAGTTCTTCCAGCTCACATAGTAACGTCACACCTGACATGTTTTCGCACTCCACCAGAGTGTTTCTAGAAACTTAGCATATCAGGTAACCACTAAACAGAAAAACTTCTCCTATAGTGCTGTAACATCATCACTAATGTGTAACATCTTTTGGAGCTGCTGTTTCAGGCCTGATTGCACAGATACCACCACGGGAAAAGTTTTTTCTTTACGTAAAAATGAAAGAAGCATCACTGTACACAGCTTCACTTTTTACGCACATTGGAAATTACTTCATCCAAGTATTTTAAGCAAGAAATAATGGAAGTTAATTCCTTAACATATTCTTATAAGAAATAAACACTTTTGTAACATGAAGGGAATATAGATTAAAAACTTACTGTAACTTGGTGCATACTACATAAAATTGTGGGTAAAACACAGTTAAGCTTTGGAAATAGTGGATTCCAGTCTCATTTGGTATTCATCCAACTAACTCATCACATTTTACCAGCTGTCCTTTATAAGGTATCACTAATGCTCGAGTGGGCCTTGGAGACTCAGATTGCATGGAAAATTGTACAACTGTCATCACAGGTCTGCCCAACGGGGGATTCGGTGTTTTCTGGCAAAATGACAGCTAGATCTTGCCTATTTTCTGTATTACTAGAATAATGAAAGTGAAACTAATCAGAATAAAAATATTTTTAAAGAAAATTCAAGAAGACACATGTTTGTATTTTTCATAAAAAAGTATTTCTATAGATTTTGGGGAGGTTCCTTTTATGAGGACTTAAATGGTAGCTTTTCATTATAATATAATCACTTTAATGCAGGAAATCCCTTAGGGATAACCACTAGCTGGGATCCACACTGCATCTATAGTTAGAAAAGCGATCAAAGAAAATTTAAAGAGACTGAAGCCTTGTAATCCATAATAATGTTATGAATTCATTCAGCATGCAAATATTATTCTACTCAACGTTCAGCAGACTTTTAAAGCTCCACACTGAATTAATACATGAATTCAGAAAACACTGGTAAGTGCATCTTTAGAACAGTGTAAATAACATCTGAGTTATGCATAAAAGGTCTTACCTTGCGAAGTTCAAGGCCTTGAAAACAGAGCTTCAAAAAGGCACTTACAATGAAAACGATTGATTCTACCAATCCATAGGTGGTACATCAAATATTAACATGGGAAATTAGTTACTAAGTAAACTCTGAGCTAATTGCTATTTCTTATTTTCTAAATATTGAGTAAGCCAGTAAATTCAGATTAGAGCACATTTTACCAAATTATAATGTGCCTGCTTCCAGGATACATTTTTTAACTCTGTTCCAGTAACTACTTAAGCCATACCCCAGAAAATGACAAAGATTTTATGAAAATAAATTTTGAAAGAGCTTACAAGCCTGGGAAGAACAAAATTCTACAGTCAAGTCATTTTTGCTGTTTCATTCATATTCAGGACTCTTGCTCAGCAGGAGTTTATTGGATTTATTGAAAGAAGTAGTGCCCTGCAGTAATGCTTGTTCTGTTATTCTTCATAAAACTGTAAAATGTGCAGCACTCCAAACTATAAAAAAATAGTGGAAGTTCAGTTAACTGTTCTTCACCAAAAAAAGAGGCTGGTTGGAAAAACAGTTTTCAGGCACAGTGGCAAATTATGGGATTTTGTAAAGATATTCCATGGGGAATCCACAGTTAGCTGCAAGTACCAAAAGATAAAACTCTACAGGAGCCTCCACTATGTATCAGTAATTGATTTGTAAATCATATCTACTTGATGTTAAAATTTCATTTCCATATAAGAAACCATTATGTTTCTTTCCTCCGAGAACTCCATCAAGAATCTCCTCCTCACTGTACTCCAACTTTCTTCACTGTGCTTGGATACAAAAAAAGCAATGGCTAGGGACTTACATCTAAACATATGCTTTTATTTGATGTAAGTTTTTCTACTGAATTCTTATGAATACCTTCTCTCCAATGAAAATTTCTGAGTTTGACATGACATATTTCAGAGAGATTCCCTCCTAAAATGATTTTTCCAAGCAAAAAAATTAAAAATAATATTAAAACTTAGTGTGAATGGGAATTCCTATCATGTGACCTAATTTAAAATTAAAACTCAGCAGAGTCTTCATGATTCCAAGGCTATGCTGATTGCCATCTGAAGCTGGAAATTTTTTTTCCCTAATGCACAAGTGATGAAGTGCACGTAAGGCTTAGAGGAAAGTTACCTTATCTGAAGTATCAGATATAGATTACTGCTGGAGTCAGCATGCCACACTAGTTGGATCCATACGCCCTGTTCCGATATGAGGAATTAAGTTTCCCTGATGTCACAAATTGAACAGATAATGCAATTAATATCTCCTTTGAAGTTCACATTGACCAGGTAACTGCTAGAATGAGCTGGCAAAACTTTACTGAAGTCACTGAAGTGATCTCGGCACGCCCAGACTGAGACTTCAGCTTTGACATTCTACAAACCACTGAGGGATATTTATGATGCTGCATCCCTAGTGGGATATTTATAAATCAGTATTTATTCTGTCATGTCAATATAGAGAACCTGCACTTTTGTCTGGAATCCCCCCGATGTGTCAGCAGTATGTCAGAATTGCTGCCTATTCTTTGAAGAGTTGATTCTCTCACATGCAATAGCTATTAGGCCACTCTCTGAAAAACTGATGGACGTCTGGAAATCCCAGACAGGTGGAGGGTCTCATTTTCCTACCTCAGCACTCCCACTGGGAGCAATCTCCAGGTAAGAAATGAGGGCCCGTCTGAAGGATGAGACATTTGGACAAGACTAGAAAATGGGAGAGATGTTATAAAATGTCCCATTTGCCACTAGTTACTCTAGAATACAAGACTGCACATGAATGCTGAACCACTACTGGAGTTGGCTGTTCATTTTAATATAGAATTAGCTTAATAATCCTTTGCTGAAAAGGTATTGTTCACAGCTTTATAGTTTATAATGCTTAAACAATACTGAGATTGTATACGACAAAGTGTATGACCACAAAGAATTTACCTGAAGACTCGGCACTGACAAGTGCTCCTTTGGGACTCTTCAACTAATGTAATTTAGAACATCATACTATGTGACTCTACAATTGACATGTTCACGATTACACCAATAATTCAAGACTTTCAAGCATTTAAACAGAGGAGGTAATTGAATGTTTAATTTAAGAAAGGAAGAATGGAATAAAGCCAAGACTTCTATCTTCTTGAAAAAGAAAATAACTTAAAATGAACATTTTGGCTACTTTACAAGACCAGATAAATATTATAAACTTAGAGACTGTATAATTTCCAAAAGTGTTAATACTCCTTGGAGATGAAAATGCAGTGATGAAAATAGAATTCTTAGAATTGAATAGAATTTTACTTGCACTGAAAGAGAAAGAATCGGTGAACAGGAAAATTGCGTGAGAAGAGGGAAACATCCCACCACGGCCAGTGTTTTATGGGGAGGTATTTGAGATGAGTGTTGAAAACTAGACTAATGACTGATGGGCCGGTAGAGAGCTCCAAAAACACTTGGAAGAATAGATATTGAAAAGTTATGATTGGTATTATTAAACATAAATAAATTTAATTATGCATACAAAAGAAGTTTAATAGAACCATTACAACCGTATATTGATAAGCAAATTATCTGTCATAATACAGTAATTCAGAATTAGAAACCACAAAATATATTACATATCAATCTACAAAGTAACATATTGTGAATCTCAAAAGGTCATTTCATATTCTCAAGATGTCTAAATACCTAAAAATTCTTCTGAAGCAATTAGTCTGCACCTTCTTACCCCCAAGAGCATATATGTTAAAGCCTCTTTATAATGCCATGAAACTGGTGCTGATGTTTTTGTCTGCCTTTTAAGGAAGAATTAATGCATTTAGCTGTTTGAATAAACAGCACTTCCTTTATTCTCATGCTAGCTTTAGCTAGAGCTAGATTGGTTTTATCTTCTTTCTCTGAAGACTCTTCTCTTGTTTTATTATTGCTGGGAATAATGGCAGTGCCATGAGAACTGTGTTCAGGTTTGAAACAAAACCTCTTGTTTCACTGTCTGGAGAGCATTTACACAACGTCCCCTGACTCAGCCGAAGTGAAACACGCTTACCTTCTGTTGGTGATGTCTTCAGATGTCTGCAGAGCCCCTCTGTTTCCCCATATGTCTCTTTAATTTTTACTACTGCTTCTGTTCCTCGAAGTTCCATGAGGGAGCGCAATTCTTGCAGTGTGCACCCAAACTCTCCTGCATGGTTGGCCTCATTTCTTTGGTTCTTGGAATAAAAATCGCTATTTGTCATGTCACCCATTGTTGTCAATTATATTGCTCCACTCGTTATAGTTGATACAATCTTAAAACCGTTTAAAAATTGAAGGAAAGGAATCTTGAATTCCAACCTAAGAAATTAAAAAGAATCCAGTGTGTGTCCAGCGAGCGACGTGGAGGATGCCTCTGGTGTGCAAGGTGTCCCTGACTGACTAGTGGTCCGCAGAATGGCTGCTTTCAAGGCTGCAGACCAGCTCCACTCCATTCACCATTTCCCATTATGCTGCACTCAAGCTGTAGAATCTACATGGTCATTTCTTCCTCTGGACCTTTGGGAACAAACAGAAAGGACTCATTACAAAAGAAAGTGAAAACGCTTTAGAAAGGTGATTTCAAATTTTTTCTCTCATTGCAGTGTGACTTGTCATTTAAGAAAAGCTACACAGAAACACTGTAGAGACGTCCTGTAAAATGCTGCAGGTAGTCAGAGCTAGCATCAACAAGGATAACACTAGCTCTCTCTTAGATAAAGCTCGCTACAGCTGAAGCACCAATAGCAGTGTTGCTTACTTTAATCAAGTCCCAAGAGCACCCGCTAAATGAGATGGCTCATGAATATTAATAAGTATGGTATTAGTCCAGCATGCTAGATGCACCTCCAGCATACGCTCTGGCTCATACAGCCACATCAATCTTTCATCTGGCAAGAACAAAGACTCTCTCGTAAAGGCTACAAGGTAACAAAAATTAGTTAAACACTACTAGTTTTTGTGAAGGTTAAAGCAAAACTGTTTTTTAGTGCAAGGACAGTAAAACTGGTGGAAAAACTGGAGCCACCATTACAAATTCAGAATTCATTTAAATACATTACATCTTGCAGCTTGGCCTTCTGTGAAAGTAGGCACACCCCAGAAAAGAGCTAAAACACGCGAGTGCCCTGGTTTGAAGAGCCAGAGCTAGGTCCTGCACGGGGCAGCTGTTGGGCTGGTGGCCTTCAGCACTGCCTGGGAGCCCCTCGGCTTCGCCTCCACAGCCAGAAACGCCTGAGCACGGAGCCCACACACAAACACAAATACACATGCACGTGGGGGGGGTGCTGGCTTTTTTTTTTTTTTTTTTTTTTTTTTTTTTTTTTATTACCATGTGCAGTGTTGAACAAGTCACATTTGAACCATCTGGGAGACAGTTGATTACTTGCTAAAACCAGCCTTTAAAACCTGTTTCCCCTTCCCATATTCTAATGAAGTTGGTTTAAATACTACTGAAACCAGCTATTATATTTGGCACAGAGAGTTTTAACAGAGATTAAAGGTTTCTTTTTTGCCTCAAGCGGGTTAGTGCGAGCACACGGTCTAATCTATACGTCTCAGAATAGTTTTCTCATAATAAAAAAGATCTTCAAAAGAGCACACCATCAGCCTAATGACTGACAAACCTGTCGCAGTCCAAGTGCGTTATTTTGAACTTTCTAGGCACAGTGGAAAGCAGTACACATGTAAAGGACATAAAGAGGATCCCGAACTGTTTCAAGTCCCGGTTTTATATCTGTGCAACAATTTCAATCTCCCACCCACGTACAGTTAACGTAACGCATAGTCTTGGTATCTCCACTGATCTAGCGGCATCACCACTGCTCTGTACACGAGGCAGCCCAGGCTGCTGTATGCATTCATTCCTCTTTACCTGCTGCCAACGTGACATTAAGTGCTTTGGAGCAAATATACCTTGCTCAATTAGACAAATTGAACCCTCAACAGCCCTCTCATTTACAGTTAAAAATCTCAACATTCCTTTGATTTCCGTGGAGAGAAGAAAAAAAAAAAGAAAAAAGGAGAGAAAAAAAAAAAAAAAAAAAAAAAAAAAAAAAAGGTACCAAAGTTTCGCTACAATATTACAGAACGCCATTAAAAGACCAGTCAGCTGCTAGATACATGCTGCTTCTACCCAACCTATTTACTGACATATATTCTAGTGCTAAGAACTTCTGCCAACGTTGATTTCACATATTGCTTTTCAAGTTCACAAGAGAAAAATTTCAGCACGAAATGGGGCTTACAGTGAGCAATAAAAAGAAACTGGGAGTAGTAATTAAAAACGGCCTTTATGTGCCAAGCAACAGCCAAGGGAGAGATACTCTACTTTCCATGCTTGTATGCTGGACAGTGTTCACAGTATCCGTTCATTTCTAGATAACTCCCTATGTATAGCATGCAAAAAAGACCTTACTCACTATTATCTGTTTTTAAACAGGATGGATCAGTATTCTGAATAGAAATAACATCAGCCTGTAGCATTATTTGGAAAAAAACGCAGGACACAAATGTCACAGTAAAACAGACTCCATCCCAAGAGGCACTGAATCACCACAACCTCCACTGATGGATGATATGCCTGCACTTTCCTAAAAATCGGCATTTCAGTCTCTTGGTTTCATCTGTGGTAAGTTGCTGCTGACAGTCACATCAGAAAGCAGAGTCAGATTTGATCACGAAAAAGAATACCCAGAAAAATGTTGTGAAAAAATGAGGCATCAATAATAATAATGAATACCTAAAATGACAGACTGCTATTTACTTCCAGTGGGCAAAAAAGAATCTAGACCTAAGATAAGTACACTTCAAGACCTTGAACACTGGGCATCTAAACAGCCATGATGTTAAAAAAAAACCAAACATATGAAAAGTAAGTCATTCACCTAACAAAGCATTTATAGGGCTTTGCTAGTCCAGTGAGCTTTTCAAACATTCCTCTAATAAAACAGAATTGTTCTTAAACTGCTCCGTAACACCACAGTGAAAAGACAATTATTAGTTTAACCGTCTACTAATTTCATTACTGATGCAAAGGGAACTAAACTCAGCATCAAAGTTGTTTTCTACGTGATTTTTCTGTGTCCACCACCCTCAACCAAAGCATCTTGTTCAACTCACTGTGCCATCTCTATACGTTAATATATCGGCTTCTGTTCTTAGAAATTCATTGTCATTTGTCAGTCAAAGCAAGACAGTGTTGTTGCTTTTTAGCATGTTTGAGTCATTTGCCTGCTTAATCTCACCTTCAATTAAATATTAATCAATAAACAACAAATATGAAGTTTACACTTCCTTCACAGTGCTTTAAAAACAAACGACTCTGAGTTTGTGCTCTCCATGATTCGCCTACTGTTACGACACCAGGGAAACACCATCTCACGTTTTTGAAAGGCAGATGGTAAAACACAGAAAGCACGAAGCATGACTAACATTATTCACTGATAATGCATCTCTCTAATCCCATGGAACAAGATATGCAGGCTTCATTCGATCCTCGAATCTCTTTTCTGAAAAGTCCCGGAGCTTTGCCAGGGTGCATACCAGATTAGCATGACTGACACACAGCCACCTCACCCTTCCCGAGCGGTTAATATTCCTTTAACAACAACTGAGAAATAGAAAACTTGAGACCGGCATATGGCAATATCTCCCCATCAGTGGGGTTATAGGCTTTGCATCTCCAAAACAGATCAAATTACCAGAAGTGGGTGAAATTTAAAGTCTCTTCTACAAGAAACCTAAGGATTGCACGAGGTTTGGGTGGGGTTTTTTGTTCGCTGTTTGGGGCAGTGGGGAGAAGGTTAGGGAAGGGATTATTTTACAAACACACTCAAAACATTGATATTGTCAACATGTGGATAACATAGAGGTGAACTACCAAGAAATCCTGATTTTTAAAAAAGCAGGAGATACCTGTACATTCTGGATTACAATGAACATTATTCAGGAAGAGTATCACTGAAAAACCCTCACTGGTTCGATTCAGATCTACCTTGATCTACCACACAGCTGTTCTTTTGTCCCAGAGGAGTTGCAGATCCAGACACTCTCCGAAGAGAAACAGGCACTTCTAAACTGAGACCTACCTCTTTCTAATATTGACGTCTAAATTAGGTGAACTGGATTTCAGACTCAGGGTTCCTACTTCCACTAGTTGTAGGGCAAGTCTACATAACTAGTTCACAAAAGATATCCAACAGCATTTGAATCCCACTGCTGTGGTCTAAACTACCTGGAGGATTAAATCTCCAGCAGTCAAAGGGAACAAGGCCAAGCAAACCACAAGTTTCAGCAACAAAAGGTGCACTGCACTGGGGATGGGAAATAGCCAGAGAGCTCAAGGACTTCTCCCTTTCTTTTCAGAAGAGCCCTGAACATCTTTAATTCAAAGTCCACGCAATTTCTTTCAATCTGAAGACCATCATCTACAGTCTGCTTCAATAGTTTTGATTTATAACCAAATGCCTCCCAGGCCACAAAGAGCCACCATCCCCAAATCCTGAGAGTGCAGCTTCTGACCCCACTCTAGCACATTCCTCAATTATGGATATTTGGTCTCACCATTCCACATGACAACAATATAGGGAAACCAGTCCTCCATAGGCATGTTCAGCAAGAGAAATAAAAAACTCCAGTAACTGAAAAACTAATTTCAAACACTATGTTAATTACATTGTTCTTCCAGACAAAAGCAGTAGCTTTCAATGAAGGTTATTTGTTTTTATTTATTCCTACCAATGCCTCTGAAACAAGCTTTAGAAACAAGAAATTTGGGTAAAAAAAATTCCTAAAGTACAGCTTGGAAGCAATAGGCAGTGAACAAAAAGACAGAGCAGCAACCCACTTAGGTTCACTTCAGATAGCAAAAGACTTCACATGCTAAAAAACCTGAGTAAAATACTATCCTTTTCTCATTAAAATTCAGATTAAATTTTCACCTTGGTCTGGGATTTTGTTTGTCAAGGATGTCATGGATTTTTGTTGTACAAGTGTACTACAAACTCAAGATTTTTCTTTCTTTTCAGGGTGGCTATGTCTTGAGGAACAGGCTTCCATTCCTGTAGTGCCCAAGTCAAATATTTTTCATCTCCTAGCTGCTTAAAGGAACTGCCTGCCAATTAAAACAGAAGCAATTTGGATGAGCTAACTGCAGGCCTGCTGGGGAAACTATTCTTTGATTTCCCTAATCAGAAAAGGTCTCATCCTGGAAGCTTGTATTTTCACAGTGCCTCAGAATAATTTCTAAGTTCGTATCATCACCACGTACTCTGACATCTGATTTTATCTGGACTTCTTTTGGCAGAAAAATTAGTAGCAAGGTAACAAACCAGATTTCACCAAATCAGAATCACAAGACTTACATTTCACAGTCCTGGAAGGTCTGGACAAATAATGGATTTATGATTACTCCAAAAATTCAGGTTATATTCATAATTTGACTGCTTTCGCTAAACTGTCATCTAAGATTATGCTAACTCTGATCTCAAAATTTGATGAGAAACTAGTAAGAAGGATGA